TTTTCCATGTTGGCGGTGATAGTGATACAGTTCTGATGATAGCTCCCATTCATCTGGTGGTGACCTGGAAGGACAGGCATGTGGAGATGATATCTGTGCGGACATTGCCGGTGTTGCCCCTTTAGAATAGACCTGTGTAATATATAAATAAACTGTTCATGTATATAACAGTGAAATATATATAATATTGTATAGTGCATAATAGTCTGCCATTCGGCACTTAAAACTTAACATCAGATGTGTGAACATCATCGAGACTAAACCACCAACACTGTGCAACACAATGAGGTAAGATATTATTTCCTTTTGAGAACGCCTGTACTGCATTCCCATCCACACTTGTCAGCATGCTGGAGCTCTCTCCGCCACTACCAATATTCGTGCTTCTCCTACTCCGTGTCGGAGGACTGTCACATCCGAATACTACTACTGTACTTTCTGTGTGTGGCCTGCGGTGGCATGACCTTGCTTCTGATTCTCATAAAAATGAAACAGTCTCTTCAGAAATTTTAGTGAGACACTTGCCAGCATATGAGCTCATATAGATTATATTTCTGTTTCAGATTGTTGTCACTAAACTTCTTACACCATTATGCAGGTACTCTGTTCTTACATAACTGTATAATTAGTAGGATGTATTAAACATTTTCATTCCTTTTTATTACAGTAATACTGCAAATAATAAATCAGTTTTCAAGGTTATGACATACATATTGTGGCTTATTTGCTCTATACAGGAACTGTTGAGCCACAGAGGCCTCGGAGCACGCGTGCAACGTGAGAGTTGCGGCTTGCATCGGCGTGTTGCTAGGTGAGAACTCTGTGAACATTTGGATAGCACAACAGGAAGTGCGAGTGACATCACTTATCCCCACTCAGCTCTTCGCTACATGACATAGTGGAACAAGAAGAAGTCTCCATAGAAGACGCCAAAGTGAAACCGGTCAAAGGACGGAAGAAGCGGCGTAGGGGCAAGAAGCAAACTGCATGGCGACATGGAAAGCCAAAGGAACTGACCCAAGGAGATTGTGGATCTCAGAGGATATTGGCTGCCGCCTGCAGGAAGGTGTCCTGCCATGCAACAGTGGCATGGCGCAAGAGGAACATCTTTATGAAATCTTAGACCAAAACAAATTGTGGACCGCGAAAAGAAGTTACCGCAACCAGAAAGAAGATTACCCACTCTGCAGGACACAGATGTAAGGGATGAAACAAAGACGATGTCACACCAAGAAACCCGAAAGGAGAGATGTTAGGGAAGAGACTGTTGAAAGGCCTGGAATGCAACAATGGCATAAGGAACCAAGGCCTGACACAGCAACAACAAGGCAGAAATGGAGTGAATGACCTAGGTGGCAGACAGCCGCAATAGCTGAAGAAACCAGACCTGAAGATGGTACAAGTGGAAAGCATGGGAAATTCTTACGTGAATTTCACGAAAACTACAAGACTGGAGATTGCCAAGCGAATGGTCAGATCTACTGTTGGGTTGTGGACAATCAAGAATTGGACCTTGTGGAGGGGTCAACCCCCTCCAAAACGAAAAAGGAGCATGACACAAAGGAAGAGCCTGTAATGTAAAACCACCGGCCTCCCCAGCGAACCTGAATGAAAAAGAGAGAGAAAACGTTGGATAATTATGATACAACTGGATCTCCTGGCACGTTAACAGGAAACTGCTTGGGACAAGCTGGTCTTAACAAGGTAGCAGATGTAACGGTTGGAGAATGGACAAAGGGAAGGAAAGAAACACCAAGCCATAGAAAGAGAAGACGTTGCAAGCACAGCCTTTGGAAGAAAAGGAGCGGGAATGCACCGTTAGGCTATTTAGAATGAACAGCCTTAAGGTGGGAGCAATGTTGCGTATTTGCTCTATGCAGGAACTGTTGAGCCACAGAAGCCTCGGAGCACGTGTGCAACATGAGAGTTGCAGATTGTATTGGCGCTTGGCTAGGTGACAACTCTATGAATGTTTGGATAGTGCAACAGGAAGTGCAAGTGACGTCACATATCCCCAATCAGCTCGTTGCTATGCGATGCTTGCTAAACACCCCTCCATGCTAGGCTGTGAGGTCACGCAACACATGATGTAACTGATTTTTGTGTGGAGATCCATTGCTAGGAGATGACAAGTGGAGACAAGATCCTAGTACGTGTGCAGCGGTGAACTGGAGAGTGTATGTAAATCAGCGATAGTGCTGTATTTTGGGTGTAACTAAAGAGTGCATGTAACCAAGCTGTAAATAAAGCCAATCTCTGAACCAGAACCCGTCATTTCATTACGTATACCCTCCTACACATGGCAATATATTATATATATGTTTTATGGTTTATTTAATAGCTATGTCAGCAGCTCAGATTATGTGAATATAGCATCAAATGATAAAGGTGACAGTGAATGATGAATTGGATGGTATTTTGAAGTAAGTGGCCATGGCCTAATTTAAACTACTCTCCTAGCATTTGGCTGGATGGACTAAAGGTGACCATGAGAAACCACATCCGCAGTAATGATTGCCTTGGTTCTGATTCATACTGAGCACCTTAATAGAACCAGGAACGTTACTGCTTGAGCCAATTTTTCACTGACATTTCTCTTTACTGTAAGTTGGCTGGGTTTAATTAAATTACAACACTCTCAAGTAAATAATGTTTTTCTTGACTTTGTTCCATCTTGATGTAAAAGCTGAAATGGAACCTTGTCATAGAACAGAATGAGGTTGTCATAGGACTAATTTTGTGGCTTTGATATAGGCTTGCAGTAGATACAAGGGCATTCAAATATACCGGGACTGATTTGTGTGTAAACAAGCTGCACTGTGCAGCAGCTGTGCAACCTTGAGAGAGTGAAGCCACAACCTTCACCCTCCCTCCTCTTTGGATTAGAACCTGTTCAGTCCTGTCTATGAGTTGCTAGAGTGATGAGCGAAAAGAAGGTATCGCGGAGCATGGAACAACGCATTGTGATCAAATTCCTCGTTGGAGAAAACCTGCCCACTGAAATTCACCACAGACTCCACCAACAGTATGGGGAAGAGTGTCTGTCACAGACCCGTGTGTTTGAGTGGTGTAAGTGCTTCAGAGAGGGCAGAGAGCACGTGGAGAATGAAACACATGATCGTCGGTCACAAACATCCGTCGCCGAGCCAAACATTGATCATGCAGATGCGCTTATTCATGAGAATAGGCACATCACTATCAAGGAACTTGGAGCAGTGCTGTCCATCAGTGTTGGTAGTGTAGAAGACATCGTGAAATACCACCTGCACTATCGCAAGGTGAATGCACGGTATGCACGGTGGGTACCATGCACTTTGACGGACGTGAACAAAATAGTGTGCATGCAAGCTGCCAGTCATCTCCTACGGCAGTTTGAAGACGAAGGTGATGCACTTTTCAAGTCTGTAGTGACCACCAATGAAACGTGGGTGCACTACTTCATTCCCGAGTCCCAGCAGTCATCACGCGAGTGGCGGCATACCAGTTCTCCCAAACCCAAGAGAGCGCAGGGAGCAGTTCAGCAGGAAAAGTGATGGCAACCTTCTTCTGGGACTGGCAGGGGGTTATCCATGTGCACTTTCTGACAGATGCCAGAACAGTCGATGCAGCTTATTACTCAGACCTCCTGGCAACAGACGTGAAGGAATAGATCCGATCCAAGCGGAAGACAGGCGGAAAGCGGCTAGCCTTCTTTCAAGACAATGCACGCCCCCATATGGCCAAAACAACAATGGAAACCCTCCAGAAATTGGAATGGAACCTTCTGACACATCCGTCGTACAGTCCCAATTTGGCCCCAAGTGATTTCGACCTGTTCAGAAGGCTCAAATCAGACTTGCAAGGCATGCAGTTTGTGGACAACGACACCATCATCCAGACTGTTAGGGAGTGGATACGCCGCCAACCACAAGCCTTTTTTGAAAAGGGCATCAGGTTGCTTCCAGAACGTTGGAAAAAATGTGTTCACTCCAGAGGGGAGTACGTTGAAGACTGACATGTGCAAGTAAGTGTTTGACAATTATGGTTTTTAAAAAAGTCAGTCCCGGTCGTATTTGAACCACCTTGTTTATCAAAGTTCAGTAGTGGTCAGACTATATGGAATTTGTGATATACAGATCCTATCCAAGCCATATTTTCTCAGGTTCTTCATATTGTGACATGACTTCTGAAAGTTGGAATAGTGAAGTCAGAATCCACATTCATTGGTAGGCAAGAACTCAATAAATACATTCCAGTGGCAATGAATATGCAAGCAACAATCAAGTAACTTGTGTTGCTATGCAGTGACGCTGTAAACATGCCTTCCCAACAGTAGACAGGCCCTGTTTTCTGCATGGTCTGTGCAGAGTGGTTATACACGTACATGAAAGTCCACTTGTGAAGAATGGAGTTGAGTTTTGAGACGCCAGCCTGCCAGGATATGAGCTTCATAACAGAAGAATTGAATTGAGTTCCCAGTTGCAGAATAATGGCAAGGAGGGATTTAGGAAATGAAAAGAAAACTTCGTGTATGATTTGAAGTGACAGTGAGACTTATAAATCTGTTGCCAGGATACTGTTAGTGAAGACTGAGAACCATAGTGTGTGTGTAATGGTGAATTGTAAAGTGTATAGATCAGTGATAGTGCTGTAAATATCTGTAGATTCAATTGCTGTGTATAAGGTGTCAATAAATCCAGTCATCCAATCTAAAACCTGTCTATAAGTCACTCATCCCCCCATATCTGTGACAATATTTTCCAATTTTTTCTGTCATATTTCTGAAAAATTGGAAAAGTAAACATTAAAATTAAGGAATGACAGACAAATTGCATACAGAGGAGGTAATTCACACTCATTGATTCACATATTCCCTTGCTAATTACCTTTTTATTGGTGGTAAACAGTTGGAATAAGTGATGTGGTATCATTAAATATTCTGTCAGAATCACATCTTTAACATTGCCACTCTGAGCATACATAGATGGGAAGTAGTATTAAAAGGCATTTTCTTGTTGCAGGTAGAATGTGGAATTGGAGAACGAGCACCTTCTGTAGCAAATTTCATTCAAACTACATACCAGGAGCAGTTGCTGGCTCAACTACTTCAGTCACATCTGATAGGAGACTTCTGCATCATTGGACCTAGAGGCTGTGGGAAAAGTGCTACTGTTAAAACACTGGCAGCTCTGTTGAATTATCAGATAGAACCAATTGTTCTCTATCAGGTAAGAATTCAAATATATGTATGGATTTTATTTTATTGATTCTTTCTACTTTCTTTGCCTAACTAACTGACTGGCTCCATGGAGCTGAGTCCTTCATGAGAACCCTCCAGTTATTCAGCTACTCGAGAATTTCCCAACATTTTATGAAACCCAGGTTTTCATTATTATGTTCATAAGAGCCCTCAATTGGTCCCCATCCTTAGCCAGATGAGATTATTTTTTTCAAATATTCCAACCAGGTCTGATGCCCTATGTAACATTTCCTAACAAAATTATTTTTATGGTGAGGAGTTCTTAGCCCCAAGCTCAATCTTCAAGCTAAAGGATCACCCCTTGTCTCCTGTCCATGACTTTTTCTTCAGTATAGTCACAGCTAACCTCCATATCTGGAGGCCATCTCCTCCAGCCACAGCCAAGGGATGCACCATGCTGTGGTGACAGGACCTGCTTAACATAGGCTTGCATTGCCTTCATTAACAAAATGATTACTTGTCCAAAATAATGTGTAATGTCACTGATGCCCAGAACTGGTGATATACATGCTTACATATGCAATGTACAATGTGAAATAAAGAACAATCTAATTATGCAGGACAATAAATTGCATGTTTTTTTCAGTGACATATGTAATATACCGTTTTTGACCAAATTGGATATGTGCGTTACTAAAATGACAATCAGAAAGTTGTAAGGTGAACAATTTTGTTATTACCATCTATCATTATATGCAAGACAAATGAACACATACCATATTATAAAATTTGAAACGACATTATTTAGATGATAATAAACTTTTATTCCCTATTTAAACATCAAATTCTAACATTATGCAGGGTGTCCCAGGAGGAAAGGTCAATATTCTGGGAGGTCATATTATTGGTCATTCTAAGCAAAAAAAAGTGTGTATATATGTGTGTCCCATTCTGAACAGTTTCCTAGTTTATTTCACTGTACAGTTTCAAAATTGTTGATAAAAAAGAAATATTACGTGGGCAAATTATCTGCTTTCTAGATTAACCACAGGAATTTTAGAACATCTTAGGTATTCATTTGAGCCAGAATAGCTTAGACTGTATACTGACAAGCTACAGGCTTGTCCCTGGGGCCCACACAGACTTCTATCCAATAGGTACTGTGGGGGGGGGGGGCTTTCCCCCCCAGTGATTGATAAAGTGGTCAAGGCATGAAGCTGACCACTTACATCCACTTAGTGCTGAAGTCAAGAATGGTGGAGCTCTACTTCCACTCCCCCTATATGTCTTCATGGCATAGTGTGTAATCAGTTAAGGTCAGGGACAGCTTTACCTTTATTTTAGGTATTCAGCATGACTTTGTGTAATGACTGAAATATTGTCTGTTGCATCTGTTTTTCAGTGATATGTGTCAGTGATGCTTTGCAATGATTTGCAGTAGACTGTACATCTTCTGTCATTATTTAGCAGCTTTCTGTTTTATTGCTTTATTTCTGTTTGTGCTGTCTTACTACCACTGAACAGGGATTATTTTTCTGTTTAGTGACCACAAGAAGAATTAATATATACTTCACAGTCTACATTTCACTACAGATTTTAACTATACAGAGAGTTCATTAGATAGGTACTTTGTTTACACAAATATGAGAGAACTCCCTCAAGAATTATTAGATTTTCAGGAAAATTTAATTCTATCAGTGTTACATTTTGTCATGCTTTCCATTTTAATAAGGTTCTGTGTCTTTGCATTGTCCTTGTAGTCAGCTGTTGAAATGCTTTTTATCTGGATTAGACACACTTCAGTGCCCTTATGTTGGACACTCATGCTGGGGCATGATTGGTGATTATCACTGCATGCTTCACGATCATTAATTTAAATTTCACTTTGTAGCCAGACACATTTTGATATCTTTGACACTGTAGAATATCTCTTCTTTTAACACGACAACTCATGATCAGTATTATGGTGTGAATGCTTAGTCCTTCAGATTGTTCCTAACACAGTAGGCCTTTGCTGCAGCTACAGATAAACTACACACTACAGTAAATGCATTTCCTTGATGTAGGACTGCCTACCCTGAAAGCATTTCCTGCAGAATATTACTGGCAACACAAAAAGATTGGCTCTACTACAGTATTTTGTAAATGTGTAAATATAAGGTTAACCATGCTATTTTGGATGCCGAAGCACTAAAAACAGAACTTGTCCAGTAATTGGATTAGTGGTTATTTTGAATTAGCTGCAGTACTTTGCCTCTTCATTACCTTGGATACTCTTAGAGTTCTGTGTTTTCCATCCTCAGTAGATGTTGGATCCTAAGAGGTGGGCATAATTTGTCACACTAAAAATTAAAAATGTCCCTGTCCTTAGTTCATTAAACACCATGCCATAAAGTTACAGTGGAGAGTGGAGATGTGGCTCTGAGACTTTATTAACCTCAGCAGTAGATAGAGGAGAGTGGTTGGTTTGATACCCCAGCGGCTTTACCTCCAAGTAAAAAGGCCTTTGTACATATTGGATAAGAGGCTGTGCAGACCTCAGTGTGGATGTAGTGGTGAAGAGAAAAGTATCTGTCCAACCAGGAATGAAACTCCAGTTCACTGGTTATCCAGCCTGTAGCCTAGTCACTACATGTACTCTTTAGTTTCTTCATCACTGATATTTCTCTTATATCTGCAGCCTGATAGGCCACAGATCTTTAATGTTACTAAGGTGCTGTCTGAAATCTTCAATTCACAGAGCTATAGCTAGTGGTAAACAAGATAGAATTAATTTATCTGCCTAAATTTGTATTATGCTTTTTAATTACAGAGTAACAGGTTGCCTCACGATAATGTTGATTGCAGAGTATGTACCTTGTCTAGGAACATAATAGGTAAAAAGTAAAGGTAAATTTGTCCTTGTGCTTAATTAATTAAGCACTATGCTCTGAAGACGTTTGTGAGTGGAGGTATAGCTCCACCATTGTTGACCTCAGCGGTAGATGGAGATGAATGGTTAGCTTCACACCCAGTCTGCTTTACCCCAGGGTAAAAAGCCCTTGGAACCCTCAGGATAGGGGGCTGGTTGGGCCTCAGAGCCGGTATGGATGTTGTGAAGTAGAGAAAAATCTCTTGCCCCTGCCATGAATTGAATCCCAGCCATCAGCCCATAACCCATCTATACCATCTGATATATCCTACCTCTTTCTACAGATATGCTGTATAAAATAGTAATGTTCTCCTTATATCATTATGATCAAATATTAAGTGTGATGAGGTATTTTGCAGGACATGACTTCACGAGATTTGCTTCAACAACGATCAACTCTTCCAAATGGGGACACGATATGGCAAAACTCTCCCCTGGTTACTGCTGCTCTTGAAGGCAAGATGGCAGTGCTAGATGGTATCCACAGAATCCATCCCAGCACTCTGTCCACTATTTACAGGTATTCACTGTCTGTTCCCCATCTGATTATTATTGCTGCTGTTCATCATCAGCTCCTCCTTCACTACCATCACCACCTCAGCCACTCTCACCACCACCACCACACCAGATATGGATTTTTTATCAATAAAACAATTACATATCCATCCAACACAACAGACATTTTTACAATGAACATGGCATGTTCTTTAGTGTCTGTAGGCTACAAAATTTTACATTCCCTTACTTCTTTGTAATAATGTATACCTTGATCATTATACTGGATGATCATTGACTTCTTTTGCTGGTAGAAATACAATGGTATGAATTTCAACACAAAAATATTTGTGTCCCATTTTAGATTCCAAAGAAATATAAACAATACCAGACCCTTAAAACTTATATGCTGGAGAATTATTCTGCAATGTAGCAAAAGCTTTTGGCTCAGTAAATCATCAAATTTTGCTAAATAAATTGCTCCCCTCCCACCTCCATTGCAGTGAATAGCAACAATTTGTCTCAGATCCTATCTGACAAATAGGAAACATCAGATCAAAATAAAATCTTCCAATACAACCCAAAATTTCTACTCAAACCTCCATCACAATGAATAGCAACAGTTTGGGTCAGATCCTATCTAACAAATAGGAAACATCAGATCAAAATAAAATCTTCCAATACAACCCAAAATTTCTACTCAAACTGAGGAACAATAAAACATAGTTCCCCGTTGGTCAATTCTAGGACCTGTGCTTGTCATTGTATATATAAGTGACCTCCCTCTGACAATAAATGCCAAATCTCTACCCATGATATTCACCAATGACACTAATTAACTGACTGACTTCATGGAGCTGAGCCCTTCTTGAGAAGTTGTCAATTGTGCAGCTACTCAAGGACTTCTCAGCAATGTATGCAGCCTGAAGGTTCATTACCATGTTCACGAGAGCCCTCCAGTGGTCCCTATCCTGAGCCAGATTGATTGAGTCCAGACCACCCCATTCTGTCTCTAAGATCCATTTTAATGTTATCCACCCACCTATATCTTGGTCTTCCTAGTGGACACTTCCTTCTGGCTTTCTCACCAATATCATATATGCCTTCCTCTTGTCCCCCATTCGTGCTACATGCCATCCCCATCTCATTCACCAATGGCATTAGTCCCATAATTCCTAGAAAAATTTCGATAATTTTATATGTTTTGTCAAACAGAGCTCTCTGTTGTGTGAGTAAATGGTTTACTGCTAGCAATCTGGCTCTGAATCTAGATAAAACAATTATAATAACATTAATAACAAATAATTCACCACAGATATCTATTAGACATTGGATATGATGATAAATATATAGAAGAGTCAGTGAACACCTCATGCTGCTTCCTCACTCGCGTATATTTCCACCCTGAAGATGGAGGCGATATGTTGCTCCGAAACGTCGGGTGGCGATCTGTGCGGCGCAACATCCCAGAAGATGGCATTCTTTGTAGTCACCAGCATGAAAAACCTCAAACCTTCAAAATTCCTTTGTTTACAAATTGATAACCACGTAAACTGGAAAAGCCATATTGATCAGTTGGTTCCTGAGTTAAGTGGAATGTGTTATTTGGTTTGATCTCTTACATATCAGCAACACTGACAGTCCAAAATAAATTTATTTTGCATATTTTCACTCTATAATGAAGTATACAGTCATTTTTGCTATGACTGTAATGGCACTTGCATGAGGGAGGACAGCTGACTGCTGGGAGAACCACTGCATTTGGGGGGGGGGGGAATTTATACACATTGCAGCTTTGTTTTCAAGATAAATTTATAAAAGCAGTAAATTTTCTCTGAATTTTTTGGCTGGATGAGATAACTTGGAGTGTATTATATGTGACAGTTTCAGTTATATGTTAATTCAGGTATAGAAATAAAACAACTTAACTGTACTTTCATATTTAGCTTACTGATGGGAAACCTGCTGGAAGTATTGCATGAGAACATTATGGATGTATGAACTTCCTTATCGCTGTTTAATAGACTCTGGATTTTAATTTAAGGTTTTAATTCCAGGTTAGTCCATGACCGAGAGCTGCAACTTCATGATGGACGTAGACTTGTCCGATGTGATCGCTTTGATGAATATAAAACTCGTCACAGCCTGTCAGAGCAGCAGCTATATGACTCAGGACTTCTAAGGATTCATCCAGCTTTCCGCATAGTGGCTCTTGCTGAGCCTCCTTCTGAAGGTATGTTTAACTTCATTATCTAACGTGTCTCTTGGTGGTACAGGAATCGCATAGTTAATGTGCTTAATCAGTTAATTGACAGTTGGAGAGGTGTCTCTGGAATATTTACAGCAAACCATACGAGGGGGGACCCACAAATAACCAGAAACGACCTGTTGCGCACGCATGCTTTGTAGTTACGAGTTGTGCTGCTAGGTGGTGTTAGCTGTGGGTCTCCCGTGACTGTTAGTGAGCTGGCATAAGTCTGAGTTAAGTGGTTTGTCTGTGGTGCTCTGTTGTGTGCGTTCCTGTTTCAACCCTTTGGCGATTAGTGAGATGGCCGACCAGAAGGAACAAAGAGTGTGCGTGAAATTGATGAAGATCGTCGAAAGACCATTGACCAACTTTCTGAGGAAACGAACATCTCATGGAGCACGGTCCAGCGAATTTTAACCGAAGGTTTGCACATGAGACGGGTGTCTGCAAAATTTGTTCCTCGCTTGCTCGGAGATGACCAAAGAGAAAACCGCGTGAATGTTTGCCGCGACTTGAAGAGTGAAGTGCAGTTTTCCCTAACTGAAAGCAAAATTTCACGCACACTCTTTGTTCCTTCTGGTTGGCCATCTCACTAATCGCCAAAGGGTTGAAACAGGAACGCACACAACAGAGCACCACAGACAAACCACTTAACTCAGACTGACGCCAGCTCACTAACAGTCGCAGGAGACCCCCAGCTTACACCACCTAGCAGCACAACTCGTAACTACAAAGCATGCGCATGCAACAGGTCGTTTCCGGTTATTTTTGGGTCCCCCTTCGTATAACAAAATTAAAGGATCCAGATTTTTGGACTTTGTTATGAAGCAATCTGCCAGTGAATCTTTGACATTCAAGTAACCATGAATTTCCATTTATCTCCAGCTTTTTCAGCTACAGTATTTCATGTTGTATATATATTCCCCGGAAAATGTTTGGGTTCTGCAACAAGAATTCCACATATGCAGAGACTGCAGTAGTCCAACTTGTTGTCACACCATTGGAAGGGGGAAGTGCTGAAATAAATTAGGGACCTAATTTCTAGCACCTACAATGTAACAGAGGAGGTTTGATGAGAGCTGTGAGAAGAAATAACTAATGGGACTGTGGTAAAGCATGACAGGCCTAGCAAGCTGATAGTAGATTTTGAAATCACTCTCATTTAAAAACCTAGCTTTAGGCTGTTAGAGGACACACATAAATGTGAAAATTCTGAAGGATGAAGGAGGACTGGGGAGGGCTATAATGGTCATGGAATCCAGTCCACATCTTCACAGGCTTTTGGTATATAAGATTAATTTTAATATTATCCTCCCACCTATGCTTAGGTCTGCCAGGTAATCTCTTCTGTTTTGATTACCCAACTAAAATTTTGATAAGCATCAACGCTGGTCATGGTTTCTAACCCCCTGTTTGGCCGTGCCATATCTCAAGCAGTTAGTCGCTGGCTTCCCACTGCAGCGGCCCAGGTCTGGTCAAGAGGGATTTGTGGTGGACAAAGTGGCACTGGGGAGGGTTTTCTCTGAGTACTTCGGTTTCCCCTGACAATCTTCATTCCACCAAAATTCTCCATCATCATAATCACCCGGGGCAGGCTACAATAGGCTAATCAGTGTCCACCATGCCAAGTGGACCCAGCTGGACTCCACCCCCCACTAAGCGAATTAAAAAAAAAATATTTCCCATACAGCCTTGTCAACTGTGGTCTTCAGGGGCATCATGTCCTGGTTGGTCAAGGGATATCTGTGCTGACATTCTTGAAAAATACAATATTTTTCACATTCTTATTTTTATAATTTTATGATAATTACTAAGGACTGCACTTTGCATACTCACAATCCAGTCATAACATTAGGAATGAAAAAATACAAAATACATGTATTGAGAAGCTCTTCTAATTGAACATTTTCCATAAAAGAGATGACAGGCTATTGGTGGCAGATCTGCCTGCTGGAAGAATTAATACTACCTGCAGTCAGTGCATATGCACACATGATCTTGAGCAGCATCACTGGAGTGTTAGAGAGATGAGGGTATTTAAACATTTTTACAAAGGACTAAGGAAAGTTAACGTGTACAAACCCGAGAGACCTGCCTGTTAAAGAGTGAAAATAATGATCTGGTTAGGTGAAAGAATTACTTTAGTAAGCTATTAAATATGCCATAACTGATGAACTTAGACAAGTAGAAATACAAGCCATAGATCCGTTGAATTCACAATGAAGTTATCTTGAAATTAAAACAAACAAGAGGCATTCAGAATGTCATAAATCATAAGATATGCATTTAATTCCACAAAAATTAATTCAAACAGAGGGTATAACATTACAGTCAGAGATTTATGAATACATAATTATGTTCTTAATAAGCATTAATTACCACATCACTTGGAAATAATGTACCATACATATTTATGAAGAAGGAAATGAAATTGATTACTGCCAGTTTTCCTGTTCATGTGTTTACACTTTTGGAAATACTGGATGGAATCCTTTTCTCAAGAAAATGATAATGTTATCATCTTGGCAGCTGAAATTTAGACTGAATGACAATTTAACTGATTCATGAAGCTTTTTGCATTTCAAATTTATGTGAGATCTGTTTTCTTCATGTTTTACATTATCACTGAACATAATCATATTCAGTTCAAAACACAGTAGTGTTGTATATGATTCTTCACACCACTATTGTTGTTACATGAATTAAGCCTTCACCTTAGTATTAATATTCCCACACTTCGTTTGCACTTCTATGTCTACAACATGTGGTACATCAAGTAGGCTGATAGTGGTGGCCAACCTTGTTTTATTTACTTCACAACCACAGCAACATACGGCAGATCTCCTGGCCAAAACTAAAAATTTAGAAAATAGTGACATAAATAATATGTTAATATTTACCAGATGCATAGCTAATAAAAAGGAAGATCTTCCTTTGTATGTGTGGTACATATGAGAAAGCATTGTGGTAGTGTAGAAAGTCAGTCTTGAGATTTTGACAGATTTACATGTTTTGAGCCTCCCTGAAATCCAAAAGGTTGTTTTTTGTGTGCTATCTGTGTCTGCGTGTATATGTTTGGACGTGATGTGCATGCCTCACTAGCACCTGAATGGGTGGATGGGTTTTAGTGACATCCCATATTCAAAAATATATCTCTTATAGGTCATTGCCCAGTGAATATGAACATTACAGTTCCAGAAATATGGGCCATTCAGTTGGATCCCAAAAAACAGAATGGTGATTTCTTGAAAATGTCTCCAATTTTGATTAAATTTCAATAGCTAATGGAGACCATGTCCATAAATAAAACTACATAGGTGGTGTCATCAGGAAAGTAAGAGTACATGCACTAGGTACCCAAATGTGAAATGTTGCTTTTGTTAGAAGTGGCTATACCAGTGAGACAAGTTTAACTATCTTTTGCTTTTCAGTACCAACAGTAGTCTGCCAAGCAGCAATCAGTTTCATTTCCAAGACAACATAGTCAGGCTGAATCATATGTGAGAAAGTATGTGTAATGTCCTTGAACTAAGTTTTACAGAACAGAACATTATTTTGCATAAAGTTCAGAGAACTTTATGCAAATATTTCTGAAATATGTAAGATTTGAGGCTTTCACAGCGGTGACTATGAAGAAAGCAGTCTTCTGGGATTTGGCACCATGTATATGTGGTGTTAACCGACGTTTTGGAGGAACNTTTTCATCATTTCTGAAATATTTAAACTTACCCTGAACAGCATATGGAGGTAATTAAAGTTCCCAGTGCTGTGGACAGAATGCATGGCACCATCATCTAAGCAAGTTTTGTGCTTGTTTCGCCTCTCAACAGGCAACAGGGCTGGTCAGTGGCTAACTGCTGAGATTCTCAGTCTTTTCCTTTTTCATGAGATGAGACCACTTGCTCTGCATGAAGAGATTCACATCGTTAAATCCTTGGTAAGTTAATATATTTAATCTGTGGATCTGTCTTATTACTGAAGAAGTGTTATCAGAAGGTTGAACTCAAAATCCACATTTAATTTCTTCTTTCACAAAAAATTCAAATATCTCAAACCGAATAATACATGTTCAGACTGGAAGAGACATGCCAGAAATATGGCAATATTAGCCATATTCAAAACTACACACTAGCTCAGGTGGTTAAGTACTAACTGCCCACCATCGCAGCCTGATTTCAGTCCCAGTTCAGATTATGGATTTGTGGTGGACAGGGAAAGGTCATGGCTTCAATTCTCGATGAGGTCATTGGATTTTTCAGTTGACCTCAACCTTCCAAGCCGCACTTTGGCCCTGGAGACCGTCTCACCCTCTAGCAGAAACGAGTACCAGGGATCTTACTGGAGGTAAATTACAGCTGGCACATAAAGCAGACAGTCTCACTACCATCTGTGAGCCGATTGTCTAGAGAATTTGAGAGTCTTGATGTCTCACAACCACATGGCCTCCATGGCCTGTTACAGGGATAGCTTTATTTCCCCCCCCCCTCCAGAATGATAGTGGGCAGGTTTTCTCCCAGTACTTTGGTTTTCCCTGCCAGTTCTCATTTCACCACCTGCATCTCTTTTATTTATCATCGTATTATCTGGCATTGTATAGTCTCAGTAGTGACTTTCACTTTCACTTTATTTTGAATTCCATAGATCTGTGGGGCTCTATGTGTAGTTTTGTCATTACTCCGATGACAACCCACTTCTTCGGAACAGTTTGTTGGCCCTGAAAAGGACCGTGGTTGCTGAGATGCTTGAACGGTGAGGTAGTGCGGCACACGCCGGTAGGGAGAGAGGTTAGTTACGGTGAATGGACTGGCCGCAGTGCGGCCGTGGCTGGAGGTTGCTTGGTTGCCGTGCGGCAGGTGAGTTGGAGTTGCGTGGCTAACGCAGCACGGTCGTAGGCTGCTGGTGAAAGGCTAGTCGTTGAGCGCGGTCGTAGGAGTGATGAGGCAGTGGCTACGCCAGATGCCCAATGGGTCGGACAGGGATACGACCACCGGCGAGTCCAGGCGAGGTGCCCCAGTGAGTCGGATGTGAGAGAGCCGGAGGGCCGAGACAGTCGTGCCTGGCACAGCCTGCCGATACCTCCGAAGACCGAGCGCTGGTGACGAAGCCTGCTGGCTGATGTTGCTTGGTGTGACTTGATAGTAGACTAATGATCGACTGATGACTTGCCGTTTCGAGGCTGCTCCTTTTTATACACTGCTCGGTGGGTGGAGCAAAACTCGAAATTGAGGAGGAAGAATTGATTGTCTAGCGCGCGTAATGATGTAGATGCGAGCTAGCAGCGAGCGCAGTATAAATGCGAACGTTTGGAGCAGTTCGATTGGTTAGCGCGCGTGATGGTTAAAAGTAATGTGAAGAGTGTGCGTTGCAGAAAATGCGTGATAATGTGGGATGTTCCCACAGATCCCATCAGGTCACGCATGCCATAGGATGCAGAACATGTCAAAATAAATAAACACATACATAAAAACAATGGACCCATCAACATGCAATACAGTCACAGTACAAAATTTGTACATAAAATATTCAAATATGATCAAATTTAGCAGATATATGATTATCGTTGTCACAATCATAAATTAATACAAAAGACCTATTCATAATATAGATGTTTGATTCAATTATCTCCATCACATAACTACAAATACTTAATTTAACAGTCCAAATATAATACATTTTATCAGGATTTAAAAATTAGAATCTATAATAAAAATTCAATATATACAATCAGTCATTTCATAGCAAGAACCTTGAAATTTGAAAACTATTAATTAACATATTCCTCTACAGGATATAAGGAAATGAGCTGTAAGTAAATCATTCACAACCATCTTAACACTTTGCGGACTGACAATTTAAATATTTAAATCATCCTGGGGACCAGCATTTTTAAACCTACTACCCTAAGTAGTGCACTGTTCACTTTAAAAATTAACATAAAATCTCCTAATTAATTTTATGAACTCAAGTTTTTGGAGAACACTTACCAATGCCCCTAGAAGTGCTTGAGAGTGTGATATTTCTGGAAACATTCCCCTTTGTGAAGTGGCATTACACAAAACTTGCAATGTAGACAGTCATACTCCTTTTTTTATTAACTTTGCAAACATGGCATTGCCTAGAAGGTTGCTTCCCCTTGGAATGTTCACTCTTCACAGTTTTCATGAGCATATGTTTCTGCATATCACCCGAGAGTCGCCCATGGGTGTCCACATGAGGCCTGCATTGGGTGGGAGTTGATGGGCCCGGTCGCACTAAGTGTGTGTCTGACTCTGGTTCTGCCACCACCATCTGGTCTGTAGTCCATGCCTTTGCCACATTCATCAGAAATGCTTTGTATTTCAATTTCGAATCAGTGTTTAGATTTTTGTAAACCAAAACTGAATTGAAAATGGCACAAATTACAAGCCACAAGGCAACTTTCTTTGTCCACTTTATTGTTTTCCTAGGAAGAGAATAATAGGCGAAGTATTGATTGGCTCTATGAAACTCCCTTCATGAACATATTGTAGCGTGTTTTGCAACTGAGGACGCCGTTCGGATTGTTAATTGGTTTATTTAACAGCCTACAAGTTGTAACTGCAATCTTATATAAATAAAAATGTAAATGTTCATTTGTCCCTGTATGAAAATCTCCAAAAGTTCTTCACCGATTACTTTGAAATTTTGACACAACGTTGCATTCGAATACCCGCATTTTTTTATGTACCTATTATATAGATGTCACACCTGTGACAGGTAAAAACATGTCACATGTTCCGAATCCAGCAGTCGTTTCCATAGTAACGCTAGAACAGTCGCATAGGATGTGAGATTCTGTTGCGTAACAATGGATGAAACCGGAAAGTATACTTCCATGGAAACGCAATAACAGTGGGCTGTTGCATAGGAATTGCCAAAACAACAAACTTGTTTCCCCGGAAATGAGAGGATAAGTGGTTCCGTTGCGTAACAATGGATGAAACAAAACACTTCTACAAGGTGTTCTGTCATCCATCGAATACCAACAGATCGTTGCCGTTGCATAGGAATTGCCAAAACAACAAACTTGTTTCCCCGGAAATGAGAGGATAAGTGGTTCCGTTGCGTAACAATGGATGAAACAAAACACTTCTACAAGGTGTTCTGTCATCCATTGAATACCAACAGATTGTTGCCTAGGAATAACTGCGGCAACAAGCACAGAACACGTGGGATAAGTGGTTCCGTTGCATAACAACAGTTGAAACCGAACACTTCTACAAGGTGTTCTGTCGTCCATCGAATACCAACAGATTGTTGCCTAGGAATAACCACGGCAACTAGCACAGAACACGTGAAATCGAACCCTGGGCGAAAGTGCCCTCTATTGCGTCCGAAACCAGGTTATAACTGTCCAGCTCCGAAGAGTTTTTTGGTGATACTGGACGTGATAATAATTGTACTCACTGGTGTAAAAGTGAGCGTTCAATAACTTGTTCGCTGAATCCGAGATGTACGTGGACAAAGAATGGCTCAAATATGTGCTGAGGAAACAGCAGAACGACGTGCAGCCAGACTTGAGGATGCACGGTTGCGAGCACGGTGATCACGTTCTGCAGCCTCAGATCTGCTTCGTTCTCAGCAGAATGAACGCGACAGGCTGAGAGTGGCTGAGTATAGTTTATTTTTCATTGTTTTTAATTTCGTTTTCTTAACTGTTTTCCTTATTTTTCAGTGCAGTTGGCTGTGGGATTGAGCTGTGTCGATTGATCTGCATTTGAATTGAAATATTTCATTAGACTGAGCCACAGCAACACGTGGCCAGGTACAGCTAGTTGATTATAACACTCTTGCAGGGTTTCACACTTTATAACCCTATTCGCAATAATCTCTTCATTCTGTCCTCAGTAGTATACACATATTAATTATGATACAGGAGCTATACAAGTGTCACTGTATCACACACTCCCAATTATTACTCAGTTATCACAAACTATCATTGATTATTACACACGCGTCCAGTTCTTCTTTCCGTGATGGCTGCTATATTCCAACTCAACTCTAATGGCTCACTGCTGGCTAGATTCCAACTCAACTCATAGGCTGCTGCCTTGAGAACTGTCTTCAGCGGCTGTGTAGTTCCCTTATAAACCCTCAGCCGGACAATGGGAAAACAGTTACATAATAGGCACCACTGTTGTCTGACGCCGTGTTTGCCTTTTACATAATGGGTACCGCTGTTATTACCACCGTCTCTAGCAACCACTGTTTACCCGCTTTGCTTAGCAACCGCTGTTTACGCGCTTTGCTTAGCAACCGGCATTTACTCACTTTGATTAACAACAGGCGTTTACTCGCTTTGCATAGCGACCAGCGTGCTGGGACTCAGCTCACTTCGGCTCCGCTCAGCACATCACGGCTGGCGGGGGGAGAGGCGTCATCCATAGCGCAGCACATCTCACTGCTCCCTCCTTAAGGCTATTCGTCCGGAATAGCCTAACAGTGCATCCCCATTCCTTTTCTTCCCGTTGCTGTGTTTGCAGTGTCTCCTGTTGTTTCGGCTACTCTTCTTGCAGCAACCATTCTTCTTCCATTACATCCACTCCCCTCTTAAGACAAAGCTCATCTCGAGCGGAGGGGGCGTCATCCATAGTGCAACACATCACAATATTATACTCAGAAATACAAATAGGCTTCTTTACTTGTCCATGTCTCCTTCGAACATCAACCATGATCGAATTGTGGATATATTCACAACATGAGTATCCCTCCAGGACTGAAGAAGAATATCCCCCTTCCTCCTGAATGTGGTTTCACCATGTTTCAGGGATTTAGATTCCTCTTTCAGATCTGGAGGAAGGCCTCTGCTCACCCTAGTTGTTCCACAAACACTACTTTTCTCGAAAGAAGGTATTCTACAATTACCACACTGTTATGATAATCATCTTGATAAACATGGTAATTTTGACCAAGATAGGA